TATGTTAACCAGTTTGATGAGAGTATTTCAAAATGTATATGAAAACAGCACACTGTACCCCATGATTGCATTAATGTACACAGTTATGCTGTAAGAAATAAAAAAAATTAAAAAATTAAAAAACAAGAAAAATGAGCCCCAGGGATAAACTTAGTTCAAAGAAACAGCCGTGGTCTTAAGAAGATAGCTAATCCAACAGAGAATATGGTTTTGAAAGTGAGTTAAGAATCCTAGCATGGGTGTGGTGGTTGCTTTCTAGAGGATGCAAAGGAAGTGACTGGCACAGCTTCCTTGACTTTGAGGTAGAGAAGGTGTGAGGCAGGCCCCTGAGCCCTGTGGAGCAGCACATGCTGGATCAGCTGTAAGAAAAGCTCTTTCTGGGCTCACTCGTCCCTGAGAAGGTCACATAATAACCATAATTACACACAAAACCGAGTGCTGCCTGAGGAGCACTGTGAGCACATTAGAGCCACAGAAACCTTCCCTTGAGATTCCTGGTCCTTCCTGGGAGAGGAGTCATAGGAAAGAGATACAGGAAGATCAGGTGCTTGCAGCTTTTCTGTCTTTGCTCAACAGAGCTGAGGTCCAGCTTCGGACCTCACAGCCTGGGTATGACCCAGAAGAAACTGCAGAGCTGGATAGAGAACAAACCTTGGATTCTGAGGCAAGAACTCCCCAGCCCCTGGGCCCTGCCATTTAAACTTCTAGGACACTGATGTTGCTTTCCTTAACTCCATTGGCCTGACTCTGCTTTCCTATCTCGTTCTTTGATGGTTATCACACATTCTAGCTTTTCTTTAGAACCCAACTTGTCACCTGTTTGATTCATGATACCAACTAGTCCCCTCTTGTTTTCTTTTCTTTTCTTTTTTTTAATAGAAGAAAGCATAAATACAGTCCCCCACTCACACAAATTACCCAGTTGAATTTCCCACATTTGGAGGAGTGGTCAGCACATCCAGGGTACAATGGATAAGCCTCACCCTGAGAAAAGCACCTTGGTGATCACAGTGTCTCCCCTGCCAACTAAGTATTTGTTCTCTCTTGTTTAAATAAACTCTTCTTGGTATCTGCTTAGAACTGGAGCAAATGTCTGATGGACTCTGTAATGTAAACACATCCCTGTTTAAGGTCACCAGAGAATGAAGATGGTCACCAGAGAATGAAGATGCCCTCCAGAGATCAACCAACAAATCTTCCATCCTTCCTTCCTTCCTTCCTTCTTTCCTTCCTTCCTTCCTTCCCTCCCTACTTCCCTCCTTCTTTCCTTCCTTCCCTCCTTCCTCCCTCCCTCTTTTTCTCCATCCTTCTCCTTCTCCTCCTTTTCTCTCTCTATCTTTTAATGCAAGCCCCTCATAACAACATCTCAGCTACCTTTTAGGATCTAAACATCTTAAACCAATGTAGTCAGCAAACAAGTATCTAACAGCAGCTCTCAAATGAGGGAGATTCTGTCCCCAAGAGGACATTTGGTAACATCTGCAGACATCTGGGGAGATCCCAACCTGGATTGGGAGATAGAGGTGCTACTAATATATTCTAAGTAAACTACAAGCCAACGATGGTACTAAGCACCCTACAATTCACAGGACAACCCCGTATCCCAACAAAGAATTATCCAGCCCCCAATGCCAGTAATGCCAAGATTGGAAAGCTGGCTCTGTGAGCCCACTCTGACAGGCAGCCTGAAGCACAAGTGGGCATCGTGCCCTGAAGCACTGGTAAAGTGCAATTGGAAAAGCCACACCTGTGTTAGTTAAACAAAATTCGAGTGATCTACATAGCTTTGTCTTCAACAAGACTTAGTCTTACCAAATAACTAAACACAGAACACATTAACTTGTAAAAAACATTGTTCTTGTGAGAAAATGTCCTCACAGCTTGCCATAGGCTCCAATGGCCTAGCCACAGAAACCTCTGACAGCTTCCTCGTAAGCTGCACAGGCCTCCTACGTCAGCAAGCGCTCCGTCACCCTGGAGCCAGAGTCACTGTGGACAGACACACAGAGTCCCACTGTCAGGCAGTTACCTGGGTGGACAAGCCTTTTCCTGGCATTTCTTCTGTCTCCCATTGGGCTGGGTCTCTGGGTCGCAGAAGGTAGCTTTCACTATCCCACGCCCCTTCTTTATGCAATGGGCAGTCTGGCGGCGGATACCTGGGGGTGGGACAGAAAGATTTGCACATGTTGAATCCTGATCCCACTGTTCTTGGTCAGAGGAGAGGCCCCAGTCATGTCAAGTGACCATGTTGATGGGTACGTTCAAAGCGATTTGGTTTTTAAAGTCGGGATGAAGAATAGGGACTTGTGATTTGCCCTCATGCTGCAGCTGAAGCAGGTGGAGATCTTGGTTAGGAAGGACCATGGGTTGTATAGGTAGATGATGCCACCTATCCCTCAGACCACAATCTAGTTGTGGAGACAAGGCTAACACACAAATGCCAATAGCAAACAAAGCAAAACCGAAATAAGGCAAGTAGGTATCACCGCCTGGTGTTCCCAGGCAATCAGAGAATTGAGGAGATAGAAACCTTTATATTAGTCAAGGTTGGTAAATTCTGAAAGACAAGAATATAATTAAAAATGATGCTGCAAAATTTGAGATGTTACGTCTTTTAAAACATGAGGTTTTGATAGAACAAGGACTGACAATCCTCCTGCCTTCAGAGACCAGGTACATAAAATAAGTGAGGGGTGCACACAGAGGGTGACAAGGTCAGACAACAACATCCTCGTCCCAGGCACTCTTCTAAGCTCTGTGCATATGTGTGTGTGTGTGTATGTGTATTTATATAAGTAATGTATTACCCATCATTGATTATGATGTGTAATAATCAAAACATCACACCCACCCAGTGAGATCAACACCATCACCATCTACTAGGTCAGTGGTTCTCAACCTTCCTAATGCCATGACCCTTTAATACAGTTACTCATGTTGTAGTGACCCTCACACATGAGAAGTGGTGTTTCGGTTCCTAAGACCATCAGAAATATGTGTTTTCTGATGGTCTTAGGTGACCCCTGTGAAAGGGGAAAGAGTTGTTCTACCCCTTAAGGGGTTGCAACCCACAGGTTGAGAATTGCTGTGCTAGATGAAGAATCTGAGGCACAGGGAGGTCAGATAGGTTGAGAAAGGGTAAGAAACCTTGGCTTTGCTAACCAGGATATCGCAGCCAGGGAACTTGGAGGAGTGGCTAGAATGTCAGGGCTGGAGCTTGACAAGGCAGTGAGGAAGTGAGTCAGCGTCTCTCTTTAAAGGGCCAGTGCTCTAATGCCACCTGTGAACACTGGCTGAGAATAATCAAGCCTGAGGCCCCCTTGGGACAGAGCGATCAGGATCGCTTGTACCAAGGCTGCCACCCTGGGCTTACAGAACATCCAGGCCTTGAGTGGGCTCACTGGCATACAGAACTCCAGAATAGAAAGGCTCTGAGCAGGCCAATGAGCTGGTCACTTTCACTTCCCTGCCCAGGATGCCAAGGGGCTTTCCTGCAGCCACCCTGCTGGCTGTGGAGCCAGTAGTCCAACCCCCCATCACCTCACTCTGCCCAGAGACTGTATATGCGCAGATGCCACAGGGCATCTTGTCACTTAAAATATGGCCAGAGGGAGTTGCAAAAGAGCAAGCAGATCCTTAAAAAAAAAAAAAATAAGCCCTATTTTTTGAGAAAAGTATCTTTTTTAAAGAGACACACTCAGGCTTTCTTAACTACTAGACAACATCAATGGAATAGAGATTAGAATGGGTAATGCCAGAGATGCCACCTTGTCCCTGCCATTGTAGAGTGGGAGAAAGAAAAAGTTTAGCTGCTTAGATATTTTGTTAAAGCTCGACTAGTTTGCCAAATTCTCGTATTTTTTATTTGTTAGTGTTTGGGACTCATTGAGGGTACAAAGAATTAGGTTTCACTGATTGCATTTGTTATCAATGAAACTGATATAACCAATGAAGCTTCTTTATGCAATGGGCAGTCTGGTGGCGGATACCTGGAGGTTTTAATAAAAACCTCTTATAACTGAGTCCTGCCCCCCAAGAAGAGTGCCATACACCATGATTTGCCAAATTCTTGATGTCAAAATATAAAAAGAAATTATCAAGTGATTCAAACAGTTTGGAAACATTCTCTTTTGGTTTATGGCCGTACCTGAAGAGCAAAGATAGGTGTGTTCACTATTTTGTTTCTACCAGGGCACAAAAACTTACACAAAATCCCCCTCAGCACATTAATGACAGTGCAGGTGTCAATCCGCAGGACGAGAAGTGAGATGAATGGATAGATTGGTCAGAAAGATACCGTCACATGCAAAGAGGACCTTAATAACTACGTATTAAATAACTACATATTTCTCCACAGACATTAATTGTCCAGGCAAGCTTTACTCTTCTGTCCCCCCAGCCCCTGTACTCTGGTATGTGACAACCCTGATATATGATAGATAGCAAGCTAAGCCCAAATATTCCAGCGAGGTAGACTTATTTGATGTCAGAAGAAAGCTATACTAGCCCAGTGCTTCTTTATCAAGCCCAATGCATGTGTGTTCATTTGGCAAAATTTAATTTATAATTTCATTTCTTACCAATTTCTGGTTAAATGAATGAAACAAATAAATCAAACTGAAGAGTCCAGGGTTATAGTCCCTGTTCTCCCTTCTATGCATCACTTGGCTTCCTCTGTGGGACAATAAGAACAGCGATAATCAGACTGCTTGGGGGCAGGAAGCTAAGCTAGCTAACCTCTGAAGTGTATCCTACATTGGAAAGCTTGGGTAATGAGAGGATTCAGGTTAATATAATTTCATTTGGCCTAGAAAATAGTTTGTTACAACTGCTGTCAGAATGCTTCAAAACTATGTTAGTTCATATTCCATTAGTAACATGCACGTGGCAGTTGTGATTTCCAAAGATGGCTGGAACAGTATGTATTCTCCCATTAAGCAAGCTTTTCAACAATGTGACTTTTCACTCCCACCCCCACCGAGACATGGATTCTAATTCCCCTGGCCTTGGACTACTAAATGCAGAAGCGATGCTGTGTGACCTCAGACACAAGATCAGAAAAGGCTTCATCTGCCTTTTCTATCTCTCACTCCCAGGACACCATAGCCACTGGAGGAAACCCATAACATCTTGGTTCCACTAGATGAGGCCAGCCTTTAGATCGCCCAGCCCCAGTGCCAGTCACATGAATAAACACATGTCCAGGTCGTTCCAGCCCTAGGGCATTTGAGTGTTCCTAGTTGAGGGGCTAAAAATAGTGGAGCAGGACACACCATCCCCTCTGCACCCTACCCAAATTTCTGACCCACAGAATCTGCAAGCATAGTGCATGGTCGATTTTTTTACTACACTAAATTTAGGATAGTTTATTATATGACAGTAATAACCAGAAAAGCATTCAATACATGTAGGCTCTCTTCTTTTCTCTGGTCAAGACCCAGTGCTACAGTCCAGCACGGCCTGCTGTGGTCTAACTATTATTGATTTCATTGATTTTTCATCTCCTCCTGTCCTGTGCTACAGGTCTTTCGCCTTTCCTCTAGATCCGTTCCATCCCTTTTCCCTCCCTGCTCTGAGCCCTGAGGCTTCCAGTTAGGTTGGGCTGGCTTCCCGTTGGTTTAACCACTCTTTCTCCTCAATCCTCTGTGCTTAGTGATAGTAGCCGTATTCCTCCCACCCTCCACTGTTAATGAGCAGGGGCAATGAATTACCTTCCTTAGTTCCCCCAAATTCTTTGAAAGCAGCCAATGTATTCAGTGTGGATGTACCTGCTGTTCTCTTTAAGGGACCCTAATGAATAACTCCCCCTTTTCAATAAAAACCTTCAAACCACTAATCTATAGTGGCAGACTCATTAACTCGGAAAACCAATTGCTGGAATAACAAAATCTTTCTTTGGTATAGGTTGTTACAATAACTCATGTGGAGGGGGTTAGAGTCAGGCCATCCTGTTAAAAGCAGTTATCATTATGTGACACTGCAGAGGCAGAAAGTGTTAAGAGATTAGGCTAAAAATCTATGTGACCTTGATCTT